GAAGAAACCCCTAAAAGCCTAAACCCCAAACCGAATCTTCTCTGCGCCTTGACGAGACCTGTGTCTTTGGCCTGGAGACCCTTGAGCTCCTGCAATTACAGGAAACTACAGGTGGGGAGTTTAGGGTTTAGGGATTTAGGGGTTTAGAGTAGAGTTCAGGGTTAAAACCCTAAACCCTAAATTAAAGAGAACTACAGGTGGTGAGTTTCGGGTGTATAGGGCTTCTATAAGGCATCTATAAGGCATATAGACCTTCTACAAGGCTCCTATAACGGTAACTACCCACCTGAAAATGTCCTAGATGAAGTGGGGTTCAAGGCTTATGACTTCGGGTTGGCGGATTCGGCGAAAGGATTGAGAGCTTCGGGTCTTAGGGTTTATAGGGCCTATAGGGCTTATAGGGCTTATAGGGTTCAGGGCTTAGGGTTTAGGGTTTCGGGTTTAGGGTTTAGGGTTTAGGGTTTAGGGTTTAGGGTTTCCAGGACTTGGGGCTTGGCTTCGGGATTGAAGTTTGGGGCTTCGGTATCAGAGCTCCGGGCGACGGGTTTGGCGAACGAGGGTCGGACGCCAAGCGATTTCTTGCTGAGCTGCCGTGTCCACGCAACCAGAAATAACACAACGATCCCAGTGTCCCCTTGTAGTCTCTAGATATCTATACGAAAATCCATCCAAAAAATGCTATTCACAATTCAAGGTATTTAGGGCTGTGATTAGTACGGTATGTGGATGGCAGTCACAACGGCCCTGCCAGTGCTACGCTCCCTGCGAGCCTGGAGGGAAATCAATCAACAGACCCATGTTGCATGGGTCGATAGGTGAAGGAACGCCGAAACTGCAACAGAATGGTGAGAGGCGGGCTCAAGAAGCGTCCTAGACAGCACTTCATTCTCTTATTTGAACACAGACCGGCCAACAAGGATGGAGAGCTGCTTAGCGATTTCTGGTAGGACTCATAGGATACGAGGAAAGATCACGCTTTAAGGTGTGGATTGATCTTCGTATCATGCCACATGGTCGAGGTCTCTCTCGCATGAATGCCCTTTGGTGGCCTTTCTTGCCGCGTTGAGAGCCTTTTGGTGCCTTCGCGTTTCCGGTCATCTTCACCCGCTCTCCTCCTCAAGCTTTCCCATGGCCTTCAGCATGGAGTCTTCAAAACCTGGAGCATGGCTTCAGAAGCACCGGGCAGAGGCACTGCAAACAGAGATGCTGCTACATCGAGGTTCAGCGGACATGGACCAGCATGTCTGGAAAGCCGCATGGTGCAACATAGGGGCTTGGCACCTCACAGCTACATTCCCATGTCAAGGCGTCATGCTTAGACATGAGGAGTACATTCGGGTTTTCGGTGTCGTATGGAGCTCAGAACCACCACAGATACCACCAAGATGCTTTTAGTGAGCTATTTATTATCGCTTCACTGCCCATGACATTAAAGACACAACACACACAAGATACCTAAATCTTAGCCTCGAAACACGAAACCGAGTCACCGAGCTCAATCCAAGAAGCTCGTGAACTGCGGTCGGGTGGATCTTGGGGTCTGGGGTGGGACGGAGGATTACAGCTGAAGCCAGGCAGTTTCAACATCACCATCCTTATGCCCCCCAGGTAGAGCATATAGTCATATAGTAATGCTTCGCATTCTAGTATGCGCATGTGTATATATATATATATATGCATAAATATCTATATCTATATCTATATCTATATATATATATATATATATAGCTATGTAGTATGTACCTACCAGTTTCAGCACCAATAAGCCCTGGCCCAAGTTCCACCTTTCTGCTGTTCGCTTGGGGTTTCTCAACTCTCTCGACCAAAGGTGTCCCGGTGTCCCAGGCCTAGGGCCCAATGCCTTCAAAGCTCGCAATCTAAGCCCTACAGCCCTAAACCCTAAAGACCTCTCAACCCTAAGCCCTAAGCCCCAAAAAAACCCTAAACCCTAAAGACCTCTCGAACCCCTCCCCACCCCGCCCCAAACCCTAAACCCTAAACCCTAAACCCTAAACCCCCCCCCCCCTTTCTAGAACTGACGAGCTGCCCGTCTTCTCCAGCGCCACGGCCGCCGGCTTCGTCTGAAGGAGCCCGGTGCCCACGGCAGCTGCAGGAGGGGTCTCCTGGTTTAGGGTTTAGGGGTTT